GAATAACCACTGGTTTGGGTCTGGGTTTGGGTTCTTCATTTTCACCTGAAGGTATTTTTTATTTAATAATATTTTTTCTCATTTTGTTTTTGTTTAAATAAAATTAAATGAATGAACTAAACTAAACTAAAACAACACAAAATCAGACTTTAACCTGAACTTTATCTGAGATCATAACAGAAACTTCCTTTATCCTTATTTTTGTTTTCTATTTACACACTGGCGCCCCCTAGACGAACGGCGCCTTTAGCATGTGCCTACGCTGCCTACGCCACAGGCTGGTCCTGTCTAGCAGGTATGTCACAGTATTTCTGCCAGAATAACCGTGTTGAGAAACTCCCAGCTACGCAGAAGAAAAKATCTGAGAGGAGACGAACTGCAGGGATGAGTAACGAGTAAATWAAGTCTCACCTGACTCCGAGGCCGATGTGGTTCCAGACGTTGGACAGCGAGACGTTGTTCGCCTGAAAAGGCTTCCTCTTCTCCTTGAACTCGTGCGCCAAACAGATCCTCCAACCTTCTTTGGGAACSCCGTGACCCGGTTCTTTGGAGACGTACCTGCTCATAAGTTCTGCAGTGGATTTCTCCCCCCACTCTGAAGTCATCTTTGCTCAATTTTAAGAGAGAAAAACAAAACGAGGAAGAAGCTTCGAGGTGATGGAGAAAATCAAGCACCACCTTTGGTAAACAGAGCCAGCTTTCACCATCAGGGAGAAAAGACAGATGAGGTAGTTAAGATGTGCAAACTGTGGTGAAGCAGAAGGATGAACCGGTTCTCAGCTGATAAATCCTCTCGCTGCTTGAGCAATATGTGACTGCTCCTCAGGGTGGAGGTCCAGGTGACATTTTAATTCAGTTTTAAAGACCTCAAGGTGGACCTCTTGGCTCTATCGGCACGAGTCCGGATGTGGCGGWGCAGCTGTCAGCACAAGCGTCCGGCTGGATGGATGGATGGATGAGAGCTTCAGAGCTACAGGAAGTACTGAAGGTGCTTCAGTCATCTAGCAGGGACTTCTACAGAGACAAAAACACAAAGCGACACAACATAATTAGAAAAAAAACACGACTTAATTTAAAAAAAAAAGGTAATTCCAGAGCAAAAAGCATCTCCCACCCGGCGAAGAACTACAAACTACCATCGATTTTTTTACGTTACCCGTCACATAACAGTAGCTTTATATTGCCATTTTGTTTAAAACTAATGCACGGCAGGCATATTTTCTTGCGAATAACTTAATAGAATTCTAAATAAGTGTTTGGAACATACCAGTGTGACGGCTTCCTTGCGATGCAGCTCAAAAGCGACCTCTAACCGAGCCCTGTAGCCTCTGTTGTTAGCGCGGCGCTCAACATGTAAATCCTCCACCGGAAGTGAGAGCTAAATTTGACCCTCTGCTTTGACTGTAAGGCACAGCGTGCAGTCAAGAAGGCGCTCAGCACAGGAAGCAACCTMCAAAAAATGCCTATCTAATTATCTTAAATTAACATACTTATTCAAAACACCAATGACAAAAAAGCCCATTGTTCTCAAAGGTTGCTGAAGTATTAATTCATAAATAATTTCGAACTCAATGGTGCCTGACAGATTTTACGGCGAAGAAAATTAAAGACAGTTTATTTAAGACGATACCATTTTGGACTAACCAGAAGAG